GCGCGGGCGGCGGGGGAGGGGCGTGGGGTGGCCCCGCCCCGCCTCGCCTCGCCTGGCCTGGCCTGGCCTGGCCTGTCTGCCGCCCCGCTGCTGTCTGGGTGCGGGATCCCCTACCTCCGCGTGGCAGCACGGAGGCCCGGCTGGAAGCTGCTGCCGGCGCTAGGAGCGTTGCTCCTGGCTGCAGGGGTGACATCACAAGAGTTCTCCCATTGGGCATGGCGTGACGTCACAAGCCCCCACCCTGCAGGTCCTCGCTGCCGGCGGCCGCAGCGCGCCCCGCCCCCCTGAGCGCGGCCCTGCGCTTTCCGCCGCCTCTCTCTGCCGCTCCCCGCCCTGCCCCGACTGGGGACTTGCCTGGGCCGCCAGTCGCTTGTAGGGGCTCCTCCTTCCCCGGTTCGGCACTGGCAGTTTTCAGCCCCTGTTCCTGGATGCTAGGCCAGGCTTTTCCCTTCCCTGCCCTCCTCCTCGTCCACCGATCCAGAGCACTGTATTGTAGGCAGGGCCCTACCTAGACTCCTGGCCGCCCCCTGGCAAGCTTTTAAATCGTTCTCTCTGGCTCCCCTTTGCCAGAGATAATGATTTTTTTTTTGTTGCGTTTTGTTTCGTGTTCATGCCCCTTTTATGCTCGGGCCCCTGGCGGCCACCGGGTTTGCCCCATGCCTGTGTCTGGCCCTGATTGTAAGGCTGGGGTAAGCAACCCCTGGCATGGGAGGGCATTTGGTTTGGCGTCCGTGCCTGGGGGAAGGGGCTGGGGCTATGCTGCCACAATAAAGGTTGGGCTCCCCCCCCCCCCCCAGCACCGAGCCATCTGCCCCGGCATGCCAGAATCTTACAAGTCAATGTTGTGGCCATGTTTCTGCCCCAAAACGCTACTGCTCCTTGTTGTAGGGGATTAGCTTTTTTTAAATCCTGGGACTGCAACGACTTTTTTCTCCTGGTGGCAGGACATAACGACCCGGCTGGGTCCCTGGCAGGTGGGTGCCAGGACCTGGCCAGCAACACTTCTGTGCTACCCAGCTCCCTGACAACATGGCATGGGCAAAGCAAGGTGCCACCACAGCTGTCTGGCTCCAGGCTGGATTCAATGACTATGCAAGCTGGGTCTGGCCTGAAGGCAGTAGGTTGCCAACCCCTGGTTTAAATAACTTCCTAGACCACTGTTTCTCAACCAAAGTGCCACCGCACAGTGGGGAGCCTTGAGATCCTTTCAAGAGTGCTAGGGGTATATGTAGTATTAGCATCATTAGGTTTGCAAACATGGTTTATATATTCAACCTGAAATTTCCTTAAGATTTTTGCTTTGTCCTTAGGCCTCTGTTCTAGGAGGCGTCCCATGCGTGAATTGGATTATGTCCTTTTCTCCTTTTAGGAGTTTAAAGTAGTTAGTATTGCATAATAGGGCAGTATCTGTGTACTGGAGAGTGGATAGCAGTTGTCAGAGGCCTGTTGACAATAGATCTAATCAAACATACAGCAGCTGAGGCGTAAGTGATTTTTAATTTGTAGGTTCCTCTGCAGTAAGTCTTAAGAATGTAACTGTCTAGTTAGAATATAAAAATAGCAATTAGACTCTCAGTTAAAGAAGGTTGCAAAGTAAGAAAAAAAGCCTTACTGAGGTTTTCAGAATAAATTAGCAGAAATATTGGGGTGTCAGACATTAGAATTAGCTTTGCTGCTATAATCTGCAGTCACATCACTGCATCCATAAATCTTTAAACAATGCAGCTACCACGATGATGAGATTTTTTTCAATCATGTTTTACTTAAAAATGATGTAACATTTTAAAGTTTTAGTTATTGAAAGAAATCTATGATGTTCTTTTAGAGCAATAAATTACACTTATTTTATGAAAGTAATATCCTGATCTTTCAGCATGGTATATACTAAGAACTGAGGAAGAGTTTTAAATTATTAAATTTGGTGTGCTTTTTAATGGTAAGGCTAGTTTCCGGCTTCTTTGTTCTTAGGATAACTAGATTTGTTATTTGGGGTATTTGTAAAGAGCCTGGCATTCGTGTGCAAAAGAATTAAATTGTTCCTGAAATGTCTACATTTTCTAGTTTGCCTTTGGTTCAGCAATATATTTTCATCTTAAAAAGGTAATTCAATATGCCAAATGGACTGCATTGGATTATAATAAGACCCTTCTGGGCCTATTAAGCCTAGTGACAGTTCTAATTAGTGTCCAAAAACTATATTTCCTTACTAATTGATGTTATTTATAGAGCCTGTCCTGTCTCTCCCTTTCCTTCTCCCCCCTCACCACTTGAAAACTTGGCAAGAACTAATTAGTCTTCCTTTCTAAGCACATGCTTCCTTTCTACTGCACACCAATTTATCAAAATCTGAAACTTAGTTTTCTAAACTCCACAAGAATAAAATGAGTTGATATTTCTTTAAAACCAGATAAATAGTGAAAATTATCAGTAGATGGATTGGAAAAACAAAATTTTCCTGTTTAAGCTATTTCATAGCTTTTTAATTCAGTTTTTATGGAATAAATATTTGTAGTTATGTAGAAATTAAATTGAAAAAAGTGTATACATGTATCAAAACTATACAAATAAATATTTAAGGTTTTTTTTTTCAAGGCTTGAAAGATTCTATGTACCTAATTGAAGAAACATTACAGTGGAAGTACTTAGAATGTTTGAAAAATGTGCTGTACATTACTAATAGGTGTGTGTTTACACAAAAATATTGTACAATATTTTGCCAAATGCACCAGAAAGGTTCAACTACTTTTAACTGGCATGTTATTGATCTATTACTTTTATTCCTGGCTATGACAGAGTGATACTGATTCATCTTACGAACTGAATAATGTCTTTTGTTAAGTGAATGTAGTCCTTATGGTCTTTCTGATGTATAGAACACATTAGAATTAGTTTACAAATAACAATTAATAGTGACTGTTCATTCTTGCCTTTTTAATGCGAGTGACAAGTCTTGGATTCTTTAATTTTCTCACTTTTTTTGGGTACCATTAATTTATAACTTGCATTTCCCAAATAATATTTATTTCTTCAGACTGTTAGGTTTGAGTGAGAAAAATGCCTGGTTTTTTTTTTTTTTTTTGAAGGTCAAGAAATGTACGTGGTAACTGCCAACACCTTCTTGCCATGAACATTCAAAATCCATTAGTTGGCGGAGGGTTGCTACATAGTGTGTGCATCTACACAAGGTGCTAAATGCACAGTAGACTCATTCTGCTGCGCATTAACACGTCAGGGCAAAAACTATGCTCATGCACAGTAGAATGAGTGTACTGTGCAATAGCATCACTAAAACGGTATCAGCTGGAGCTACTCCACAGTAGTGCTGATTACTGTGCATTGAGTTAGTAGCTGTTATTGCAGGTACTTAACTTAATGCACTGTAACTACGGCACATTAATGCACATGTAGACATGTCCAGTTTACTGCATTTGCTGCTGGGAAGTCTTAAAAATGACTTCTAATGATCAGGAGTAAAATTTTAATTAGTTAAAATACAGGAAACTTTATAATTTTATGCTATTTTATATTTTTTAAATTCAAAACAAGAACTAGCCCTCAGAAACAGATTTCAGTAAAATGACAATAGGTTTTTATAATATTAATACATTATTTATGTATAGTAACTGTTCGTAAGATAATACTACTCTTCATGGTGTAACAGAAATATGATACTTTGGCAGGATGTGGATAGATAAACAGTTATACTGCTTTAGTATGGAGGTAGGACTCACTGTGATTCATCTGAATACAGCGTAGCTATTTTGGTCCATTCCTAACTGAAGTATTTGAGTTAAAGTACAGCAATTTATCTCCTGTTTCATTTGGGTTTAGCTTCACTTTGGCTTCAGAGTTGACAGATGAAACGTATGCCAACTGATGTCTCTTGTTGCCTTCAAGGTCCTGTTAGGGTCTACTACAGTATGAATCAAATATGCAGACAGTAGCTATTCAGTGAGTATAAACTTAGCTGATAGGATGAATAAGGCCTACATTACGACCAAGTGCAGGCATTACATTTCTCCTGGGAGAACCGCAGCTCTCCTGGTAGAAGTTACAAGTATACATATGTTCATTCAGTTTCACCCTGGGGAAACACCCACTCCAGGAGAAAGATCTTCCAGGAGTCAAACTGGAAGATTTAACAGTTTGTGGCTCTCCTGGTTAAGGAGCTGATGGGAGAAGTGGGGCAGTGCTTGCAGCCTCTTCCTCAGACTGGGGATTGTGCAGTTCAGGGATTGTGTTGGGGTAGTAATTGCCAACCTGGCAGGGCTGGTAATGAGGCTGTGGGAAGAGCCCCCAGCCCCCCTGGCTTCCCTTTACAGCCTCTGGCCACCAAGCTGTCTTTTTTAGACCAATTTGGGTGGGAAGCAGGCTCAGGGAGGCTTTAACTGCCCCAAGTCCCAGCTGGCCAGTACATATGCTGATTTAAAAGATTGTGGTGCTGGGAAAACTCTCCTAGGGGCAGCAGCACAATGCTTCACTAAACCAGTGCTGCCTAGTCTGGTGAACTGGCAGGGGGCTTTGCCCTGCTGCTCCACTCCTCCTAGATCGGGAAGGTAATGGAGTGGTGGGGAAAAGCTCCTTGCCCATTTCTCAGCCCTGGTGTCCCTGGTCTTAGGGAAGCACTGGGAATCTTTCCCTGTGCTGCACAATGCCCTCTCCCCATTTTCCTCTTTGCCCTGGGAATAGGTGGAGTGAAGCAGCCACTGCTCCCCATGCTTTCCCTGGACCAGGATCATCTTTGTCTAGGGAGCATGTGAGGGGCCTGGGAGAAGAGGTGGTTGCAGGCTGAAC